TTTGGAGAGCCACGGGCGAGGCAAGAAAGGATCCGAGGCAAGGGAAGCTAGCCCCAAATTGGGATGGCCCCTACCGCGTCCGACACAACCTAAGAAACGGAGCATACAAGCTGGAGTACTTATCAGGAGAACCGATTCCGAGAACTTGGAACTCCTCGCACCTTAAAGTGTATTACAGTTGATGTATTAGTGCACTCTTTTCCTTGACCGACTCTTTTTTCCCTAAGGAGGGTTTTGGGTCGGCAAGGTTTTTAATGAGGCACTTATTAATAAAAACAATTTCGTCATACGGTTTCCTTTCTTTTTATTTAGGTCGTACATTGACCGATCACACCTAGGCCGAGCACTATAGGAGAACTCGACGCCGCCAACTAACCTTCAAATGACCACTATAATGGTGTCCTCAAGCCCTGTAGGTTTCCCTCCCGAGTACCCACCTCGGCTAAGGATGTACCTAGGCCGAGCACTATAGACGAACGCGACGTCGCCGACCAATCGATAACCGACTACTACAATGGTGAACTCGAGCCCTGCAAGTTTCCCTCCCAAGTACCCAGCTCGGCTAAGGATGTACCTAGGCCGAGCACTATAGGCGAACGCGACGTCGCCGACCAATCGACAACCGACTACTACAATGGTGAACTCGAGCCCTGCAGGTTTCCCTCCCGAGCACCCACCTCGGCTAAGGATGTACCTAGGCCGAGCACTATAGGCGAACGCGACGTCGCCGACCAATCGTCGACCGACTACTACAAGGGTGAACTCGAGCCCTACAGGTTTCCCTCCCAAGTACTCTCCTCGGTTAAGGACGCACCTAGGCCGAACACTATTCGCTAATGCATCAATGCCGAATAATAACCAGCCGACCGCTGCACACGTAAAATGTACTAATTAGAAGACTCTAATGCATGCCTCGTGTATAATTGTAATCAAAACCGAGCACTCTCGCAACACACTCGTATATTCGAAACCGAGCACTCTCGCGGCACACAATCAAAACCCAATACCCTCAGCATACGCTCAACACGCTAACCGAGTTCTCTCACCATGTATATCAAATCGTTAAAGTTCAATTCTATCCGAGCACGCGCAATTCGAATACTAATTTCCTTACTCGGTCGAACATACAAGCCGGTAATTTCCACACCGAACACTCATGAACATGCAAAAAATCAAACGTCTCGTTTAGAATATGACCAAAAAAACGGTTACTTACAAAAAATAATTATCTACCGATGCTAACGGCCAAAACTACAAAAGGCACTAATGGCCGTTACAAAAAAAATCCTAGTCTACTCCTGTCAAAGCCAACACCCTACATCGCAGCCGAGCCGTCCGGATTCCCGTCACCAACTACATCTATGATTGGATCATCCTCCTCGGTTGGTGGAGGTACCGGCGCTTGCCTGGAGATGCCTCGGCGGGGGGCCTCTTCATCAGGACTAGCCCCCTTGGGGAACTCAGCATAACTTATGTACTTACCCCCGTAAAAGTCCCGACCGACATCGAAGTCAAAATCAGCCGGGATCTCACAGAAATAACGAGTTTGCCGAACCGCTTGCTGGAACCCCGCATCATGTTGGTCGAGGATCTTTTCGGTGGCTTCGGCCTTCAGCTTGGCATACGCCTCAGTTAGTCGAGCAATTTCACCGGCAGCACCGGCAGCCTCAACCTTCATTCTCTGTACCGACAACTTCAAATCATCGGCTTCCCTCCGGTGGGCGTCGGCCGCTTTCTTCAGTTCGTCGGCCGACTCCGTAGCCTTAGCATTAGCAGTCAAGGCTTCCTTCACCGTGGCCTCGGCCTCCTTTAACCCGGCGACGACGGCCGGGATAGCGAACGCCCCACAACCGGACTGTTCCAGCGTAATCTGCTTCTGACGCTTGGAGGAGGTGCCCGGTTGCTCGGTTTCCACACTCTGATCGGCCTGCCGTGGTCGAGAACTCCCCCCTCTTCCTCTGGTCGGCCACGGGAATTATTACAGGCGAGGGTTTATCCCTCGGAATCTTCAGCGCCGAACTCGCCGGCAGCACCTTCCCACTGGCCTTCGCATCTTTGGCTCGTTTAGTGAGCATAGCGGTCACGTCGAGATCTCCTTTGGCCATCAGTCCTGCAACAAAAGAAGTCTTAACATCAATTCAAAACACTGCTACACTACCGAAGACTAGCAAACATACCTAGCAACACCGTCTCGAAATGAAACGTTTCGAAAATGTCCAAAAGGCCTCGGACAGGCAAACCCTTCGGCAGTTTGTCCAGAAGCTCCACTATTTCTTTATCCTCGGCAGGAAGCTTAGACGAAGGCATCGCCTCAAAGCTCGTCGGCCGCCTCGTCCAGTAGAAGGGGAACAGGGGGTTGTCCTCTCGGTCATAGAAGCAATCCCTCAAGTCCGTACCCCAACGAATCTTAAAAAACCCACTCTTAAATCCCTTATAAGAGGAGGTGAATGCTCGGAGAAATCCACGCTTCGGGACCCGAGATAACGACACCCATTTCACCGGCTTGCTCGGCCGACAAATATAGTAATAAAGGAAAGCAAGTGGTCGAGGTGTTAGGCTGAGGCAGAGGCATAGATTTCGGAATGCCTGCATGGCCGCCCAGGCATTAGGGTGTAACTGCGTCGGCGCCACATTGAGTGCACGGAGGACCCCCATCTGGAAATCATCAAAGGGCAATGTCATGCCGAGATCCTCGAACCAACACATGTAGGCGTAGAAGTAGTCGTCCTCATCGGATCCCGGCTCCAAGAACACGAAATCAGTGTTTGGCCCGTCGTCTTCACACGCCTCCGCCAGCAATGAGAACTCGTCCTCCCCACTTCCGAAGCATTCCTCTAGGGACACGAATGTATCCAACAATTCTTGGTCGGATAACTTCGAAAAGTATATACCGACCTCCCTGTCAACCCATTCGTACCCAGGCACCTCCACCATGCCGTAATCAACTTTCATCTTCGGTTGAGTCCTCGGTCCGCCCACGCCCTTACCCCGACCGTCGTCAACCACTACCAAGTCATTCCCACTTGCCTCGGCGTGAACCACCTCGGCATGAAGACTCTGTTGTCCGACCCTTCCCAAACCCCTGTCGTCCACCTCGGTGGCTTGTGCTAAGGCCACAGCCAAAGTCAACGGGGGCGACACTTCGACCACTTCGTCACCGCTGTCGTCCTGCTCGGCAAAATCGGAAGGAAAGACCACTTCACATTGCAGCGGAGGCAACCTCGATACTTCACTTGACCCCGACCCCTCTTGATCTGACGAAGTGCCCGATGCCTCCGAGGACGTGCAGGTCTTAGCCGAAGAGTAACCCCTATCCATTTATTATCAAGAATAAAAAAATACAAAATTTACCTTTTGCTCGGATTGCTCGGTTAACTCTAGATTCGAGAGCGCTCGGCAAATTTACAGCAAGTAAATTCCCCAGCAGCCCCCCTATTTATAGGCAAGGTAAATCAGGGAGGTGAAAAGACGTCCCGGATCCCCAGCCATCCGATCTAGGCCATCCAACGGTCCAGATTTAGTAACCGTTGGCCCTGTAACCGCTAGGGCTAACGTGGCAGGCCATACTCGCAAAGGTCTCGGCATCGACTCCAACTACTCGGCACAGCATTCAGACCTCGGCCCATTGCACGTTCAGCCTGGGTCCCGCCCTAAAAGTATTCTCACTTTAGGTCGCGGCCTAAGACCCATATAGTTCTCGGCCTACGCTCAATCACCTTAGGTCTCGGCCTAACACCCATCTAGGTATTAGCCTACGGTCAGTCACCCTAGACCCAGCCTAAAGTACTCTCGCCTTAGGTCTCGGTCTAAGACCCATATAGGTCTCGACCTACGCTCAATCACCTTAGGTCTCGGCCTACGCTCAATCACCTTAGGTCTCGGCCTAACACCTATCTAGGTATCAGCCTACGGTCAATCACCCTAGACCCCAGCCTAAAGTACTCTCGCCTTAGGTCTCGGTCTAAGACCCATCTAGTTCTTGGCCTACACTCAATCACCTTAGGTCTCGGCCTAACACCCATCTAGGTATCAGCCTACGGTCAATCACCTTAGACCCCAGCCTAAAGTACTCTCGCCTTAGGTCTCGGTCTAAGACCCATATAGGTCTCGGCCTACGCTCAATCACCTTAGGTCTCGGCCTACGATCAATAACCTTAGGCCCTAGCCTAAAGTATTCTCGCCTTAGGTCTCGGCCTAAAATTTGCTCACGTCAACCGTGTCACCACAAGTTCAACAGAGCCCATCGTCTTAGTGATCGGGACCATACACCCAGGTTCAACCATTTTCGTCTCTACCATCCTCAACGCTGCGGGGGTTGTATACCAGATAGTAGCAGACCTGGCCGAATACAAGTCATCCGACCCGACCGACCCGATTACTTACTCCGAGACCACCGACCACTCATTACCCAAACCGAGTATGTCGGTGTGCTCGGTCACGTTGCGGATTTTACCAAGCCAATTAAGGAGATATTATTTAACGTAATGCGCCGGTTTAGTCCCCTAATTTTCCGGGGCCCAGTCCCTAATCACGGCCCAATAAGAATCGTTATAAATAGGACCCAACGAGGTACGTAATTAACTTTTCAACTACCGCATTTATTACGCCGAGCACTTACTTGAGCGTCGGAGTGTCTTTGCAGGCACACCCCCCCTCACTTCGGACTACCTGGATAGGAATGAGAAGCCCGAGCCCCAGGATCAGACCCGCTACAAGACAAATTGAAGTGTGTATCCTAATACAGGAACAGATAATAATTAAAAACTTACAATGTTATACGAAACAAATCAAGTAGAGAAAAATAAAAATAAATAATCTTTTAACAAGTGATAAATGAATAAGCCTCATGCATGTTGTTTCTATTTTCTAAACTTGATATTTACCATATTTATATAACAACTTTTTGGAATTTATTATTTTTATTGTGAAATTTATTTTTCCTCTAACTCGTGATTTTTTTTCTCTGACAATATACTTGTTTGGCTAAAATCACCTACCAGTCCAATGATGCTAGGAGGTCACATTTATTAGCAAATGAATGTTCCAATAGTTGTGTGCATGCATACTTGCTGAATTGAACCTACAAATGCAAGTGAACCAACTAATCAGACATTCAAACCACGGGGCAACACGACCAACGAAGAAGAAATAATTTTTTATTTTTATTTTTTCTGAAAGTTGTTAGATTTGGCTATGTGAGATGTAGTCTTCTATATAATTCTTAATTAGGAAACTTGTTGCCTCTTGTAAGAACTAACTATTAACATAATTCAATACAAGGTTGTAATTTTTCTAGAGCTATACTTTTAACATCTTATTTACATTCCTATTATTTTAAAAGATGTGTGGTCCATAAAGTGCTTATTAATCTTTTCAACGAGATTTTTTTCACAAGGAAACGATGACAAAATGAAAAAAAAAAATGACTAAATTTGTACTTTTGGTTCCCTTATAATATTAAATATTAAAATTTGATTCCCCAAATTTTAAATATATAATTTTAATCTTTAAATTTTGTAAAATTTGCAATTTTAGTCCAATAGTTAAATATTTATTTGTTAACCATTAAAATTGTAATGTTAACTATGAATGTTATTAAGTAAATAATGTAACAATTAATTTTTAATAAGTTTTAGACTAAATTTCACTTTGTCACCATTTTTATCCCACAAAAGTGTTAAAAATAGACTAAAATTGAGTACAAAAAGTATAATTTAACCTAAATATCATTAAATATTAATTGTTAGGTCATTTACACAATATTATATCATGGTCATTATTATAATTTTTTTTTTATGAGTAAAGAATGGTAGATAAGGGATGAAACCCCCAAGACTACAAAACAATGAGTCAATTCCATTTTGGAGATCCTCAAACCAATCACTACTGTCCACTTAGTGGTTAATCGAATTTTAGTAGTGCCTAATTTGACCCGGGACTTAACTTGCCAAACCAATCAATTTTCAGGTACCATGATTTTGTTTTCTATTAGTAAGTTAAAAGTGTATAAGAAAAAATATGTTCTCCTTACGTAACAAACAAACACACACACAGACACAGACACAGACATAGACACAGACACAGATACAGACACACACACACAGACACACATACAGACACGCACATACACACACACAAATTTTTGTGGTATATGTACCACGATTTTGTTTTCTATTAGTAAGTTAGAAGTGTATAACTTACGTAAAATTCTTAAAAATAGTTGTTCTTAGATACAACTAAATCTTTTAACAATATTTTCTTAAACTTCTGGCTTTTTTTTCAACAATTTCAAAAAATTTGGATATATCAATTACATAAAATACATCTTTATTATGTATGTTTGTATGTGATTTTAAACTTAAATTATTTAGTATGACTATGAATACAAAGAGAAACACTACAATTACTTATTTATTTATAAAAGTAATATTATGTTGGTCATTGAGTAATAAATTTTCTTTATATATGCAAAAAAAATAAAATTTATAAGTATCTAACAAAATCTCAAATATTTGAAAAGTTTACAAACATATTATTGTATCATACTTATTGAATAGACATTTTTTTATAAAGTACAAAACTACAAATTATTAAGAAATTACAACGAGCTATATATTACACTTTTTAGGAATTAATTATTATTTAACTTTAAATATATAGATGTAGTTTTTTTTTTCAAAAACTAATTAACATTGATAAAATTTTAATTTTGTCTCTTCCTTAGACTTGTAAATTTTGAAAGATCTTAGATGTTATAACCCTGTTAGGATAAATTTAAAGAGTCTAAAAAAATCCAAAAAAAAATTATTTAAGATTTTTATAGAATAAGTTTGAATATTAAAATATTATTTTATGTTAATTTCTCTAATATAGGATGTTGACACTTGTAAAATTATCATTGACAACAATTATGAAATTTATTCCCTTAAACCTATAAATTATCAGTGAAAAATTTCAAGGTTAATTTGTTTCATTTTTTTTAGCTTTATTAATGATAATCTCTTTGCTTCATGGTAGATAGCTATTTTACATCTTAACAATTTTGTGTTTTCATTCCTCCTTCTCCTCCTCTCAAGAAGGATCACTTCCAATATATTGTTATGAATGTAATACTAAATTATGTAACATCTCGCTAAAATAGACTCCATTAAAAATAATAAAAATAATTATAGATAATTAATGAAATAAAATGTTTTGATAATAAGAGAGAGGAAAAGATCATAAGAAAATGATTAATTAAGTGGTCTAATAATATAGACTAATGGGCATAAGTACACATTGTCTCATTCTAGAAGAGAAAAAATAGAACAAAGGAAAAAGGGGGGATCATCAAGTGAGTTTTGCATAATTCCTCCTCCCCATATATGTCAATGGCTTTGCATGATCTGTTTTTTTTCTTAATTGTTTAATTAAATGTTATTTGTGTTTCTTATGTTTGTAATGTGTCACATTAGGGTTTATGAGAGTGAAATATTTTTCACTATAAATGTATGATTAACCTTGCATGTTCCTTATGTCTTTCTCTTTTCTATCTCTACGGAAAGAATATTGTATAACTTTTCATTCCTAAAGGAATGATTTTTGAATGTTAATTTTATTTATATAGATATAAATTTTGTACGATTTTTCAATCTCTATAGAAATTATGCTCATGTACTTATATGCTCATGTAGTTGTGAAATGTCTTATTTGACAAGGGAAAGGTAAAAATTTCTTCAATCCTCAAAGGATGATTAACATTAAAGAGAATTTCTTTTAAAAAACATAACATTCTCTTAATTTGATAATGAAGGGATATTTTTCTCCCTCGGTCCTCAAAGAGTAGTGTTAACTTCTAGTGAGAAAAAGTTGAATGGCAATACAAGAAGGCACTCATTGGGATTTTGAGCTCAAATTTGACCACCAAGACAAAAAAAAAACATGAGGTTTAAAAAGCTTTATATTATTTACTAAGTTTACCTTTTTGAATTTGCATTATTAATTGTTAAAGTTTATTTATCACATGCATGTGTTTTACTTGTTGTGTTTCCTTAGAGCATTCATTAAGATGAAAGTTTTATTAATTTATTTTTTAAATGTGATAGAGCATGCAAATTGAGGTGAGGCATGTAATATTTAATTCCACTAATTAGTTTAGGATATTTAGTTAGCAATTTCTTCTTAGGTGAACTTTAAAACTCTTGCATGAGGTTTAGAATATTTTGTTTAAGCTCCTTTTATGCTTTATATGATGTTTGTTTACCTTTTTGGATTGTTATGTTGTCTTCTTTCAATAAAAATAAATACAAAGTTTTGGGTTAAATTGTTTCCACAAATATATAAACATCTAAGTGCATGCCAATAATGAATTACAAGGGTGTTACACACTGTCACCCATGAACAACAGTGAAGATATCCTATAATGAGTGATTTATTCTACTTAATTAGATGGAACAACAACAATCTTAGTCACTTAAGTATTGTCGACATAAAATTTGATGGCTTGGTATCACCAGTTTGATATGGAACAATTTAGGTGTGAGCCTAATACGTTATTGGTTTACAAAAACTAAGCCCTCTATGAATGTAACTTATTATCTACCCCCAAGCTACTACGCACCCTTCCAACACTAGGTCTAGGTGCACCCAAGGTGATCACCCTCAACTTATGTGCCAAGTCAATATTCAAGTTCCTTAACCCAAACGTAACTATTCAACGTTAAGTATGAAGCGACTCATTTCATACAGTTTTTACAAGATTGTTTAAAGAACACAATGTTTATTAAGAAAACACGTCCTTATTTGGGACTATGAACCAATAGGCTCATGGAGATCCAATCAACTAGTATCTCTCACTAAACAACTCAATAAAACAATATAACTCAAAATTCTTTTTTAAACCACCTTAAAGGCTTTTCAAAAACAACATTGATGAAAGGGATCAAGCCCTCCCAACATCCACTCATAGTTATGTGAATTAGGTGCTCAACCTTTCTTGTGACACCCTCTATACTCACATCAAGTTCCACAATTCACACAAATTCATTTTAGAAGAAAGGTTTTCTATAGTCTATTTAATTCATTATACTATACGAGCTTCCTAATCATAATCATTCCTCCAATAATTTGCCTTGTGTTTTAATCCTTAGGGTTTCCCAGGAACCCATAGGCACATATAGATTTGCAACTATAGAGGCAACTCTAGAGATCAAAAACATGATTATAATCTACTAACAAATTTAGAATACTAGGTAACTCACAAACAATTACAAATTTATAATAGAGATAATATCACAAATTATAACACAATTATATCACAATTAGAAGGCAAAGAAACAACAAATTCATAGTACAATTACATTAATTTGGGTTTCCCTCATACACTTAAACACAAACAATGAGATTGGGGGCCAATCTTGCTATTGTAGATAACCCTCACCCATAGAAAGGTTTTCACTCCCTCGTACCTCGATGCCAAACTCCATACGTTGATCTTTGAGGTGGTCTCCAACAGCCTTTGATTCTCCCTCCCTAATAAAAAGCAACAAGATTAAAACCCTCAAAAGTAGAGCTTTTAGTGCGAAACATTTTTTCCCACTCCAAATATCATTTGGATGATCCAACCATTGAAATCAAAGAATAACATCTTGTAAACCCTCCATCCAAAATTCAGCCTGATCCAACAACGAATGAACCTTCAATTATAATTAGAAAATCACTGTCTGGTGAATATGCGAATTGAACAATTAATTTCTCTCTTATCTTCTCTCTTCTATTTTTTTTGTTTTTCTCTTTCAATGATGAGTCACTATCTCATCTTCAGGGCACAAGAATGTGTGTTAATGATGAGAGGCAACCCTAGACTGTTAATCTATAAATAGGGAACATTTATGACACCCTCTACCCCGACATAATACACAATAATTATAAGATAAAATTTGAATGAATAAAAATTTTCTCAATTATAAAATAGGTAAAGGATTCACATTCACATACAATCATAGTTCACTTGTGGAAATTACAAAATAAATAAAGTTAAAGATTTTCCAAACAAGAAAGAAACTAAACTCCTAAACTAGTCCTAACTATGCCCCAATGTCACATATCTTATTAGAGCACTCCCAATTGAAGCCTAAGCCTCATCACCAACATCCTCATGCTGATGATCACCTGCAACACAATAAAAATACACATAGAGCAAACATGGGAGTGAGAAACATCTCACTCAGTTTCAGGTGTAAAAACAATAGTTAGGCAACACACACACAAGTCATAACGAGCACAACCATAGCTACACATTAATCAGATGCAAATTCAAATTATACATACAATAGTAACACATACACAGTCATTCATCATGCAATGTTGTCATGGACTCAACTCATAAATGCATGCATGTGGCGCCAATTACATATCACATATCACTGGTGTGCTGCCTAAACAACACACCTAAGGTAGTTTAGGAGTACATGTAGGGAGCTACCCATACACTCTCAACAAGAAGGATATACTGCTAGGGTCTGCCCAGGATAGCGAAGCTGTGCAAGTTACATCTCGTGCTCATAAATGAGTGAAATCGAGACATCCAAACCGCACTATCCCCTAGGACTCCCCCAAGCTGTTACACAAGGAGGGCCTTCCCTAACGGTGTACTCCATATCGTTCCCTTCACATAGATGCACATGATGCATGTCACACACATTCACACTTCATGGACTCATCACTTTACTTGTCATAGTTACTCATATATCATGTCTCATTGTCACATATCATCATATTTCATATCTCATATTCACTTTCCACATTGTCTCATCATATTCACATAATCTCTACAGAGCACTCTAATTCCTATCAAAACATATTCAAACTCAAAATTAAATATACATTCATGCTCAGTATTCATCAAGAAACACAATAGAAAACTTAGAAAGTAAAACAGAAAACATTAGAAATTTGCCTGTTTCTCATAGGGTTCTCTCAAGAACCTACAGAGTACTCTAATTCATATCAAAACTTATTTATTTTCAAAATTAAACACATATTTACACTCAACATCACACAAGGAACGCAACAGAATATTCAAAAAATAAACAGGAAACTTTCATATTTTGTCTATTCCTAGAAGCATGCATCAGGCAAGGGATTGGGAGCCAATCCTGCTACCCAACAATTATTCTCACACCCCCGATAGAGGTTTCTCACTTCCCCCTTACCTGGATAAGCAGAAGATGAAGCTAGAGCAGAATCTGATTGATCTCTTTCTCTTGGTTTTCCTTGGTCTTCAGAGAGTGTGTCAAGAAGCAGTGCTATGCTATTTATAGATATCAAAAGTGGCCAGAACGGCTCGTATCGGATCTAGAATGGTTTGTTCTGAATTCATTCGTCATGTGTTAAATTCGCATCTAGAATGGCTCGTACGTTCTTAAACCAGAACAGCCCGTTCTGGAGTTGAGTTTTAACTCATAAGGCCATGTTTGGGATGGCATGTTCCCAAAGTAGAACAGTTCGTTCTGGGTTCGAATTTTACTCATAACAGTCTATTTCGGAATGACCCGTTCCAATTTAGGGTTTATAGGCCTTTTTAGTAGTTTGAAACGGCCCGTTCTAAGCTACTAAATCACCCTTATTGGGCTTTGAGCCTTCATATAATTTGTGAAAATCGGGATGTTACATCATTGAACTCTAACCCTTACATAACTCGTTGATAAAAGTCTGTTAATCATTGTTAGTTACTTTTCTCATTAAAATTCAAATGATTATCTATTATAATTAAATTACAAAATATTTTTTTTATCAATAACTCTTGTTACCAAAATGATCTCAATTAATTAAATTAGAACTCTTAAAGATATATACATAAGATAATATCCCTTCAGATAAAATAATTTCACAATCTTTATTTTTCTTATCTAAAAACATTTATCTATAAAATTTCTCTATTAATCAAAACCATGATATAAAATCAAAATATGTTAAAATAGATAAAAATATATTTATATCTCTAATATAAACCAAGATTTTCTTTAATTAATAAAAACACTCAATTATTTAAAAAGCCTTCAATGTAATCATAAAACCTATTTAATTAATTAAAATATTCTTTAAATAATTTTAGAAAATTTAGAATGCTACAATCATGTTACTTATATGTTGATTTTTCATATCAAGCTTACCATGTTGTTTTGTGATTACAATTATCATTTCTTTGACATGGGAGCAAATCAAGTATAGTTTGCAAGGAGCATCTTGGAGCTATTGTTGGCTATCTTGGGATGGTTAAAGCAAGATATTTGTAGTTTCTAGGCTTATGTTGTCTAATTTTAAGTCCAACTTAGGTTTTATGTTTTCAGTTGTTGGTCATGTATATGTATTTGTATATTTTGGCACATGTAACTTGAGGGGATTTTCTTTGTTGTTTGATGACTATGAACTATTTTATTGTTTTTGTTCTGGTTGATTGCTAAGATCTCGTGTATATACATGTCTTGTACTTGCATGATATTTTGAATTTGTGCAATGTGATAAACCTAGGATAAATGACTTGTTTTCTGTTGTGAATTTGCGATGAATGTTGTGTTGTCACATTGTTAAACCAGTGTATGATTTGTTAGATTGTTGTATCACAATATTTATAGGATGATTATATAGTTAAATGTAATTTTTTTAATTTAATTTAAAAACCAAAAACTAAAAAAGTTACTTTAATAATCTTATTATTTCTACAATTCATTATAATAAATTGATTTCGTTTTCAAAATTTTGATTGGTTATTTTAAAATTATTTCTCATTAATTAAATATGATTTTAATTTGTTCAAAAATTCATCATACTTTATATTTTTACTATGCTAAATATTTGACATGGAAACATCACCTTGTTTTCAAGATGCCTAATCGAATGTTATTCTAAAATAATATAAAAATTAAATTAAAAAATGAAGTTCTTTGTTATAATAATTTAAAAATAAAAATTGCTATTGTTTTTAATTTACATTCTATAATAATAATTTTTTTATCATATTTTATATTATCTTAAAATTAATTGTATGTTATTTCTACATATAAGAAGATTCACTTTATCATCTATTATTATCATGATCAATATTAATTTATTTAAAAAAATTATAATTACATTGATTTATAATTAAATGTAATAATATATTTTAAAATTTAAAAAATTGGAAATAAACAATTTTACATTTGTTAACTACTTCAACAAATAGCTTTACCAAATAAATATAATTTAATAAGCTTATGTAATAGCTTTCAACTATCAACTTTCAATTACTAGTCAACTTTTTGACTTCTAATTAGTTTTTCAAATTTTTAGTCACCTTTTCAACTTTTTTTTGTCAATCATAATCTAAAAAATTAAATAAATATTGTTACTTTAGTTACAATATAACTATGTTATATTTTATTACACTTGAAATAAAACATCTAAAACTAAAAGTTTTGAGATATGATAAGAAGAAGATAGGTGGAATACATAAAAGTGCTCATTATAATTAACGAAGTATTTTAATAAATTATCCCAATTTAGAGAGGAGGAAAATTTGATCTATGCATATTCTTTATGTTTGTTGTTCTTGAATTTATATCTTCTATTCACATGAGTCAACTTTAGCCAAATATCATAATTTTATGAAAAAGTCATGTGCTACTAAATCATAATATCTTTAGTCAAATTTTCAACAATTTTTTTTCAAGTTTTACATTTTCTCTTACCATTTCTTACTCAACAATGTCTACATGAGTTATGTGAGATTAGCCTTTTTCCTCTTATCCAACTTTTCAAATTGACCTTGAATGATGATTTATGATGTTTTAACTTAAGAAAGATGATAAGATTGTAAAAGGTTAATCTCATTCACATCATTAGTAAATAAACAAAACAAAATCTTACGTGTGTATCGTAAATGAAGTCTAAAAAAGGAAAATTCATTGAGACCTCTCTTGGTGTAAATACCAAAAAAGAGATGAAAGATAAATAATTTATGTGATTAATGATATGATGTGACAAAAAAGAGAAATAGAAAATTCAACACTTTATTTACATTTCTCAATTTGGTGAAAGCCTAAAATGATAAGGGGAGAAAGAAATTTAAGTATAATGATATAACAACATGACAACATGTCTATATTATTCTCCAATTATTATTCATACCTAAGTATTCAAATCATAGTGGAAAGTGAGCTAATGCAACATTTTACCGCTTCTGGTCACCCCATATCTTGCTTTCAAAAAATTCACCCAACATTTGCTCGAGATGTTCAGGAGAGTATACAATGTACTTATGAGGATTTTTGCCATTCTCAATCATGGGCCTGAAAAATTAAATACGTGTTCATCAACATTAAAAAAATAAAATTTATATGATAGGATTAGGAAACCAAAAAGAATAAAATATAGGACAAAACTTTTATACAACTTCATTAGTTCATTTAGTATGGTTCTATAGTTAGAGTTGAATTTTTTACCTTGGTAATCTATGTTGATCTTTAATGCAAACCTTTATTATGTGGATTATTGAGATGAAACTTCAATGTTGATTAAAAAATCATACTAAAAACACATAAAAAAAAAAAATAGATCTAAGTTTTGTCCAAAAATATATAGCCTAATTAAAGCATACCCAAAACGTTTAAGGAAAGATCTATATGCAGGTAATAGAACTTCAGCAACGGCCAATCTAAGAGATTCACGCAATTCACTATCTGGAACAGTCCATTGAGATTGTCTTTGATGAAGCTCTTCGATTTGATCATTAAAAGTCTTGAATCTATCTTTAACAACTGTCCTTGAGACTCCACTATTACTATCCCCTCCTTGGATTGTGAGGCATTGTAAAATCTGTAGGATCATATAACATTATCTTTTAATGAAACCATTGTTATACAAACTCAATGAATTTGAAAAAAAAAATGATTTGGATTAACATCATCTTTACCCAACTATGACATAATAACTATAATATTTACATAAAACAAGTAGATTTTAATATAAGAATGATATATCACATGTTCATCGAGAAAAGCCTACAAATTGGTTACAAAGTTCCAATTTATTGAACTAGTAAAAATTATAGTTTATGACTTAACCAAAGTTGATTTGAGATGTAAACAAATACAAAAATATGTAAATAATAATTTAAAAATAAATTGGTAGATCAACATGAGTATCACTAGGTTCATGTGTGTTAAAATAAAACTTGATACTCAAACCAAAGGATATCTAATTTGAATAGGTTGGTTTGAATTCAATGCAAATAGTGATAAAATTTGAAACTAAGTGTTAGAGTTAGTTTAAATTGCTTCAAGTTCATGTTATCCATTTTGAGGACAAGCCTCTCATGAGATTGATTTTTTAATAAAAATAAACTATCAAGAAGCAAATTTTAAATCTTTTTAACTTAGGCGACTAATGTGATGCTTTGAGGATGTGATTATAAGTACAAAACTTGATATTATACCATGGAACAAATAAGAAAAGGCATAAATCAAGCTTGATAAACATGCCTTCAAAAATAAGGATTGGTCACCAATGTGATACTACATCAATCTTGAAAACAAATTTTGAAACATGTTAAGGTGCTACAATGTCAAGCCTCCAAAAATTTGTATTATTTAGAAGGCAAAATATCATAAGCAATATGTTCAAAATTTAATTGTCAAGTGTTTAGAAGTAAAGATCTGTCCAAACCATCAAGTAGTAATGTAAAAAAAGCAACCAAAAGATTAAAAGACTGTTGCACAAGCATCATAGTAATTAGAAACATCTATAAAAGGGATCTTATAGAAACAATCTTTAGAAGTAGAATTCCCAACAAACTTTACAAGTTATCAAATGATTAATCACTAGAAATTCAACTCATCCCAACTATCAAATATTCAAATTCAAATTGCAACCGATGATTTACATAAAGAAAAATAAATCATAAAGTAAAAGATCTCAAAAGTAGCAAATAAGAAAAATAAACCAGTTAATACACAATTGCATGAAAGAGACAACCTATACAAATTTTAATAAATATTTGAATGAGTTTAAACTTGTGTCTAAGAATTATATGATTGTTTTGAAGTTATAGTACATATAAATACACTCTTACAAAAAAAAAATCAATGCAAGAGAGAAAAATAATAAGTTAGACAAATTTTAGAATTTTTGCTTCTATAAAGAAAAAATATAGTTTTTGATGTGAGTCTTCCTTAGTAAAATTGTTTACCCTTGTGCCCACTGCATGTAATACCAAAAATGTTTGTAAACCTCCCTGTATCAATGTGCATCCATTCAATGAGTGATTAGAAAAAAAAAGTAGGAGTTTGTTTAGTGAAAAAAAATTAATAAAAAGAACCCATATGTGCATCCATTCATTGAGTGATTAGAAAAAACAAATAGGAGTTTGTTTAGTGAAACAAAAAATTAATAAAGGGAACCCATAACATCAATTAGAAGATTGGTGCTTATAAAGTAAATATATGACCCCAATTGTGTTAGATGTTAGTTTGTTCAACTATAGAATTTCACCTTGAAGCCTAAAGAAACTTATTAAAGAATACTTGTTGAGGTTTGTGAAAGGTATTGAAGCCTTATGAGACTTGTGAGAGAGTACTTCGTGATAAAGCTTGTAAAATCTTATGGAAAGAATATTGGGGGTGTGAACACGCAGAGGTAGAAGTCCTGGTTGAAAAGCCTACCAAGGCTTGTGGAAATAATATATAGGTTTGTGTACCTTCACATTTGAGAATATTATGTGTTGAAACTTATAAAGGCTTGGGAAATAATAATTTTTGTTGTAAGCAACCTATAAAGACTTGAGAATAATAATATTGAGAAAGTATATGGAGATTTTGGGAAAAGAATACATTATAATATGTTTATGCACTTTATAATAATTAGATAGATTATTAGACTTAAAATAACAAAATTTATGTCTTTAGGCAATTACAAATATGAATTATTAGTGTTTGTAGTATATGTTTCTTTAGGTAGTTATTTAGGTAGGTATGAATTTGTGTGATATTTTATATGAATAGGGTATAAAGAATGATTTGTCAATAAGTAGTTTGTGTGTTGGGTGTTAAAGAATATAATCTTTATTAAGGGAAAATCATATGTAGACAATATCTTGTACTATAAATTTGGCCTTAAAAACATAAACATCTTGTACAACAATCTATATATAATTTAATGTGCTAAGTTTTGAATTTCACTATTAGGCTAGGGAAACACATGCCCTTGACAAGAATTGATCTAAGAGTGAAAAGATTTGAAAAAAATAAAATAAAGATCCAATTATAAAGACCAATTAATGTTAAGACTAATAGGAATGCAATGAAGAAAATTAGCAAAAGCATTGAGGGAACGTAGTACACAATTGATAGTTTGGATGAAATATTATTTTTGTTGAAAGAACTCATAAAACTAAAAAACTTTATTGTTTTAGACACTAGATACAAATTCAATGGGCTTATTCTAGAGTTTAAAAAATTAATAGATAAACCTTTGCCCAAGAGATCCTTTTATATTGGTTTGCATGTTGTTGCACAATTCTTCTATGTATTTGCACCCAATCATCTCCTAACATGTCTTTTGCCTCTGACCTATAAATACAATATGCAAATTAGAATTGTAGCTAAATAGAATGTCAATCTCACATACTATATTTGGAGAAAAATAAATAATCAACCAACCTTCTCACAGATCTCACTATGTAATGGATATTGTTCATAAGAAATAATTGGGTCAAGGCTGGATCTTTATATTGTTTTGATTTTCCATCCAAGTTACTTTGGAGAGCCTGCATGATCCTTGTTGTAATAATTGCTAATTGTCCTTCTGGATCGTTGGGATCAAACTCATGAAAAAGTTGTTTGAGGGTTGATTGATAACTGCTCACATTTAGCATCCACAATAAGAAATTAAAATTTTTGAAGACAATAAGGTCCAAATCTAATGTATAAAAATTTAGAGTAACAAAATGATAAACTATGTGACTTTACTTTTAGAAACAATGTCATAGAAAACATTAAGAAAAAAAAAACGGAATTATCCCCTTAAACCTTTTTAGGGGTGTTAATAAAATATTTTGAAAATATATATAACCAATTACATAAACACAATTGAAGAAAAATGATTTCTAAGCAAATTATAAATCAACATACTAGTATCACTCACTCATAAAGAAACTTCACATAATTGATAACATAGCTAGTTAAAGGGTGGACAGTTCCATCCATAACAGTAGTCTTAGTGGCATCCTTTTCGACAGCTTCCTCAAAGTCAACAAAGGTTTCTTGAGCTGTTTGAGCCAATCTTTTTGCCAAATTTATTGCAGCTTCCCGCATTTCAGTGCATGCTTTACTTTCAAAAAGTATCTCAATCTGTATCATATACCATCCCATTGAAAACGAGGAAATAAAACATAAATAACATACAAAAGAAAACAATTATAATTAACACTATAAAAAAATTCATTTAAATGTAAAAAAAGATTCGGTTTAATAAAATTTTTCAATTTAGAGAATTGATGATGAATTATTTCTTATCAATTAAAGAGATTTTTTTAACTTTTTAATTGGAATGAAATGATATCTTCCAAATAACAAAACTTCTAGTTGAATTGAGAAATCACAAATTCAAATTGATAACTTAAGCTTTCTAAATTATCTATTTCTAGTAAAAGTTATTTTAAGTAATTTATGTATTGTATCAAAATCTTGTAATAAGAGTTATTTTGATTTGGAACTAATTAATGTATATAATTATAATAAACAAGTCTTAAGATATAAACTTTATAATACCTCTGGTTGAAGTTCTCTCATGATCTCATACATGTCTAGAAGAACAAATAATTTCTCAGGAGACCTCTTACTTTTTGCAATAGCCTCTCCAAAACTAAGAAGCATAGCAACACTACTAGCCGTGACTTCAGCAAAACATTGAGTTTTCAAAGAGTCCACACCATCAAATATTTGATCACAAATTTTCTTCTCTCCAGAAATCAATAATTTAACCTATTCAATTAAAGTTAGATGGATACAAAATGCATAATAAGACATTTAAAAATAATTTTCATTTTCGTCTTACAGCAATCCTCATGTAATGAATCCAGTTCCCAATCTTTGCCTCCAAAACTTCCCACTGCATTTTTTGAACATCATCCTTACTTAGCCTTTCTACACCTAACTTCCTAAGACTTTGTTCCAAGATTGTAGCACGAGTGTCTCTATGGATTTGGAACATATATCATAAACCAAATTTGAAAAAAAAAATCAGATATATTTACAACTTTAGACACAATACATGCAACTATTTAGTCATTTGATTATAGGGAAAAAAAAACATCACTACCTATAGATTCGAAAGAGTTGTTGTTGATGTCCAGCTTGAACCATTTGTTGTGCTAAATCATGTAGTAAAGGTACAACTCTGGGTGGAATAAGAGTTGGAAGTGCAAAAGTGACCGCTTCTGAACCTTTTTTTCCAGGAGGGTTTTTTCCACCACTTTCACTTTGCTTTCCAGAATTTGATGGCCTTAGAGAGTTTGGTAAGCACTCAAAAAGTCGATCGGGTTCCACAGGTTTACTGAAATTAAAAGCTAATTTCTTAACATTTTGACAATGATATAAGTTTTAGGTTTCAAAGTCCAATAACAAAGACCAAAAACATTTCAAGTATCTAAAATCATAAAAGCTTAAGAAAAATACCTGATGAAAAAAATGAATGCTTCTATTAATGCAAATATAGATATCCAAGAGTTTAAGAAAAACTTTAATGAGTAATAACTACATATTAAACTATAAACTAGAGTTAGGTATGTTTTCATCGAGTTTCGTGTGAAAAAATATCAATTTGTTTGTCTTTACTAGAGAAAATTAATATTCCTTTACCTTTAAGGTTTATTGGCCAATTAAATAACCAAGAATTTAACATATGATGGGAGTTATGCAAACAAATGTATTTAATTGATTCCATATCTTTTACTCCTACTTATCCTTATTTTCCTTCTTCAAATATCCTTTATTTGTTATTTAATTTTTTCAAAAATAAAAATATAATATATAATTTAGTTTTTCTTGAGAAAATGCTGGTAAAAAAGGATTTTAAAAGAGTAGAAGGAAGGCGTGCATGGTTTCTTCAAGGCATGTATAGGTATTGTAATTTAGGCTGAGTTCATCCCCACCAATGACAGACCTAGGTGAAACTTGGGTTTGATGATAAATGTCCTTTTGAATATAATAAAGACCTTTGATTATGTTTGCACTTCCAAACCTCAAGCCATAATAACAATGAATAAAGAGAATGGAGAATAAATAATGTAGAATAATTGATGACCTTTGATTACTTTTGCCTATTGTCACAAAAGGTAAAAGTAAATAAATTTGTAAATGAATAAAGAGAATGGAGAATAAATAATGAAAAACAAAATCAATCTTTTGTGAATGAAGAGTGACTATTGCAAGTAATAAGATCATAAACAAATATTTTTCTTTATTAACAATAGTTAATGCTATAAACTTAGCCAACTTGGGAAGCTTATAATACATGTTTGTTTCTTCAATTTTTTAGACACAACATCCCTACTATAAGACCACAAGTTTTTCTAAATAAATTAATAAAAGGTTTTAATTAGCTAAAGGAGTGCATTTATTTTATTTGATTGTTTATGTATTTTAACCAATTATCTAATTAAGTGTATTGAGAAAAAAAAATATGATTTAAGTTGTAATTTATTTGAGAATATTTTATTTTCTTATATAAAAGAAGAGGTAGGAGAAAATTTATAAATTAAGGTGGTGAGTGTACTAGGGTTACACTTGTTATTTTAACATTTACGCTCAACCCTCTATGTTATGAAGAAACTGAGGAGTTGCTAGGTTAACACTTACGACAACCCTCTATGTTATTTTAACACTTACGCTCACACTCAGTCCACAATTGATTATCAAGGTAAAAAGGGAGTGAGTAGTCTCACTTTGGGATGAGATATCTACAAGGTAGTGAATTGACCCCTAACCTTGTTGACTGTGCATGTATGTGGTGAGGGAAAAATCTCAATTTGTTGTGTGATCTGTAAATTAATGATTCATGTTCTTCTCATGGACTCTAGTTACTATGATTGATAGTTATGGGTGTTGAATTTAGTGTTAACTTAGGTGATCGTCAATCTTTAGGTGTCTATGGGTTCCTATGGGAATCCTAAGATAGAGTAAATTGAATTAGTAAGAAATGATTAATCTTGTATGAGAAAACATGTAATTAGTGATTTATTAATGTATGAGTAGGACTTTAGAAAGTGTTCGCTGATCTAAATTCTTATTTTGAGTTTATATATGTATTATGTGATTTTCATGTTTTCGTAATGGTGAAATTTATGATATGATGTTGGGCTTTGTGAAGGACTGTCGAGCATGGGAGTGGTGGAGAGCATAAGCTATTCTCAGTGTCACTTATGTTGGGCATGGGACGATCCACACTAGGTGTGGAAGCTCTAGGGGCTTCTTGGTATGTCTTCATCAGATGTAAGTGTAGTCACACTAAGTATGTTTCTTCCAGTGAGAAACATGTGTTCTTTGTCTAGATTACGCCATGTGTAAGGTGCCCTATGTTGGGCATTACCCTACAAATGTTCAATTTTTGGATTTCTATATATTATGATGTTGTTTAGTATATGTAACAAATTGAATAATCTATGTCAAATAATTAATTATAGCATGTTAAATTATGGTGGAATTTGCATGTAATTTAATGGTGATTATAACCTTGTGTTTATCTTGGTGGTTGTTCATGGGATGTATCATGTGCTATGTGTGGACCATGTGATGGTTATGCGATGTGAAAGCCTAAGTAGAGGCTTAACCGAGATAAAAGTCTAGGTATGATCGCCTAGTCAGGATATGATTTATGTGTAACTTGTATAACATGAGCTTGGGAATGTGAATAACGTGAATATGCATCGAGTCTTGTGTGACATACATTATATGTATAACTTATTTTTGTGATAGATACGATACAAAATACATTGATTTCCCTTGTGTAAAAGCTTGGGGATAACCAAGTTTGGGGGCTTCAGTTACGCTCATTTGTATACATGGGATGTAACTTGATCGACATCGCTATCCTAACGCACCCTGGTGTTTCATCTAGTGTATAGTGTTGTAATATTGTGAGACAATTCTCTAGGCTATTATACGTGTGCCTTTGAGCAATGGTTGAAACATTTTACTAGCACCAAATGCATATAGTATAGTGAAGCTTGTGAGCATTTGTTGATGTGAACATGATGTTATGTGTTGAATGAAGTTGAAGTATGATGGTTGTTTATGATGAATAGTGGAATACTTTATTATGTACTTGTGTATATACTGATCTATGTATCTGCTATATAAATGTGATATCTTGTTGTGTGTAGTTACTCAACCGTATCTTGCATCAATAGTCAGAGTGAAATATTTCTTACTTCCATTTTTCTTGTTGGTATTCTTGTGTATGTGTTGCAAGTAAGGATTATCATGTGGATGATGAGGCCAAAGACAAGGCTTAAGCCTTATGTGGGGTGTTATGCCTCGAAAGGATGTAACATTGGGACTTGTCCATGTCTCTCCTTTCTTATTATGTAAACTCTTTTATGATCATTATTTTCTTTATTTTGTCTAAGAAAATTTTCTTTTAAGTTGGAATTATTCTCTAGTTTCTAAAAAAAATTTGTCACATTTTCTATGTTTGAGACTCTTTATAAAGTTTTTCACAAAGCAAGAAGTTTGTGTGCAATTGAGAAAATAATGGTAGTTCCATCCATATGTATTTTGTTTGAAGGTATTTTAAATATGTTCATTTTCATACATTTGTTCTTTGATAAATTTTCCATCAAACATTTTATAATTATTTTAAATGACTAAAAATAAAGGTGATTGAATTTTACTAGTGAGACCAATTAAGTTCCTTGAGCCAAATGAATAATTTAAATGGAGAAAAGTTGAGCCCATATGTATAAAAGTAAAAATAAATTTTGTTTATCTATGAATACTATTTAAAAATTTACTACAATTTCTACCGTGTAGATGAGAAAATTAAGGAAATAATTGTTAATCATGTGTCCAAAATCGTTAAAAAGTGGTAAAATTACTTATCAGCAATTATCTAACAAAAACATGGACATTATAGAGCATAATGTTAATAAGGAATGAAGAAAAAAAAAAGGGAAATATAATATAAACATATATACATGTATATTGAAAAGAAAAGTAGAAATTCAAATTTTAGAAGACTAACCTATAATTTGTTAAAAGATGTTTGAATTCGTCTTCTAGCTTTGAGATAGCTTTGGCAAGCAAGCTGTTGGCATGGTTGATGATACCTTCACTGCTTTTAAAACTCTTTTTGCTGTTAAAGAAACGAACATTTGCTCTTAACTGATCAATTGCTCCTAAATAACTTTCTAGATCCTCGTGTGGCCCTCGTAGTATTTTAGCCTCCGCCTAATAATTAAATTAGAATGAAAATCATATAAAATATAAACATTTATTACTAATTTAAATGAATTAAAAAACATCACATAATATATTAATATTGTACTCATATATGTAGCTAAAAAGTGCATATGATTTTAGTTATAGATGCAATTTAAAGAAAGCTAACATGTGAAAAATTATCTGAAGTTAAACACTAAACTTTATGAGAAAAAAACAAAATGTAGACACACACACACATTATCAAGAAATAACATTGCATTAAAACTAAAGTAAAAACAATGTAAAGATATTTAAAACATAAAGAAAAACTTTACAAAAGTCGTCATAGTTATTTGAATTTTCTCAACATATATTACATAAAAAAAAATATCTTCATAAACAATTTTACTCAATTGCTGAACAATAAAAAAGAAAATCCATAAAAAAAACAATGTAAAGATATTTGAAACATAAAAGAAAAACTTTACAAAAGTTGTTATAGTTATTTAAATTTTCTCGACATATTACATATATATATATATAAAATAAAATAATCTTCATTAACAATTTTACTCAATTGCTGAACAATAAACTTGTAAATAATTAGAAAGCCCATAAAAAAAATCTTTACAGAAGTTGTTATAGTTATTTGAATTTTCTCAACATATGACATATTAAAAAAATATCTTCATATACAACTTTACTCAATTGTTGAACAATAAACTTGTAAAAAAAAAAAGTCCATAGGCTCTTATTTTCCTATTCAACAACTTGAAGACAACCAAATTTTGACATTTTCATATATACTAATACACCATAGCAACTTGAATCACAGTCACATATTTATATTTTAGATTGCGAGTTACCATTTTGTTATGAAACTAGAACATCAAATCAATAAACTTTGTAGCAGTTGTGGCAAGATGTTAGTCAATTGAAAATAAAGAAAAAGTTAGACCTACCATTCGTGTTTGGTCGAATTGTGACAAAATTCCCTCTGCTGCTTTAAGAGTCCTATCAATATTATCATGTGCACTTCGAATTGAATGCGTTTTTATCTAGCACACCACATCATTAATCAAAGATCGAAATAATTAACAAGAACAACAAGAACAAATTGAAACGCAAAGATCGACGAATACGCATTCAAGAAGCATACCTGAGTGGGACGCATGGCGGTTTCGAGCGCGGAGAGGCGGTGATCGAAGGAACCAAGAATGGAGACCATGTTATCGGTGATGGTCTGACTCTTGTGAAGTGACTCCTTCACGAACGCTGCTCTTTGTACAAGAGCGTCCATGGCTTCCGGTATCTCCATTCAGATTGATTTTCTCTCTCTTTCGTGTTTCGTTGCTCAAAATATGGAAATGGAAGTGCATAATGCTTTCATTCAATGCAAAACTCATCCATTCCTTTTTTGTTGCTTCCATGTGTTAGTTCCTATTTTCATCGTGTTTCCTTATTCCTTGCCAAACGGTTCCAAGAAATAATTCAAGTTATATAGTATGGGCTAGTGTGGCTCGTGCATGTGTCATGGGACACTATTTCCCTAATTATAAATACCCTTGAATAAAATTTGGATTAAATTACTAAAAACAAGAAATCTTTTTTTTTTTTTTTTTGCAAATAGCTTTTGCAATCATCAAAACATGATAAAATTTAGAATTAAGAAATCAAATAAAGACTTCTCTTTTTTTTTTTCATTGTTTTTCTAAATTCATATTTTAAGAATCAACAAAGATAAAATTAAAATATCTATTTAAAAAAATTAAGGGAGTTATGTATATTTTTCCTAAAAGAGAAATAAGGTTGATTATATATATAATATAGCCTAATTACAATTTTCCATAAAATTTAAGAATTTACGTATCAAGAATGCTGTATTAAGAGGTGTGATTGTTAGGCATGATAAGCTTGTATCTTTGGACACTTGTTCAATCCAAACTCAATTTTGACAGAGAAAATCTGTTTTGACTAGATATGAATTTAGTTACAAGGTTTCATACACTTGAGAAATGGAGTTCAAGTGCAGGCTCAAGTATATAACTTTACGTTCTGTCCATCCTTTGCCCCCATACCACTCCCACTGTGTTTTAATATATATATAAATATATATAAAAATTAAAGTTAAGTTTTTCATTTTATAAATATTAAAAATATAAATTAATTATTTTAATTATTAAATAATTTAAATAATAATAATAATTAAATAACAAACTTAAAATTATGAGTTTAATTAATAATGTAATTTAATTTTTAAGTTTTCTGTTTATAATTTTTTTTCTTATTTATTATTTATATTGTAATATAATTATTAGCTTATTATTTTATTTATTTAAAATTATATAAGTAAATTATTTAAAAAAATGTGTTGGCCGTGGATTTGGTAAAATTTAATTTAATTTTTTTTATTTATAAAGTATTAACCGTGAGCTTACCGAACCCAGCAAAATTCAATAGATACAAAAATGGGTTTTTAAAATGTAAGGCAACCTTTTTAAAATTCGAACGTGAACAGCCACGCCATTTATGTTTTATTTGAAGAAGAAGAAAGATTTAAAGAGAATAAATTTATACTTATTATAAAGGCACGAAGTATTTCCTTTTCTATTAATAATAATTAATTTGATAAGTGATACATAAGAAATAAAAAAATTTAAATATTTTAGAGTAAAACTTAAATAAAAAATAAAAAAATAGATATTATATATAATTAGATTTTCATATATCATTTAGATAATTATATTCTTATTTTCTATTAATTAATTATTTAAACAATAGTATAAAAATAATTTTACCTAAACAATTGTTTGTAAAAAATTCCAAACAAAATCTATCTTCCCAAAAGTAGAAACTATCTCTTTTAAATATATATATATATATATATATGGATTCATTTATTTTAATAGTAAGTTTATTTAAATTTATTTCATTCAATAATTTGTGTTAATTTCAACAATTTAATTATCGTTAAATTTAAAAATTTTAACATACAAATTAAATCTATAAATTTTTGAAAAAATTTAAAAATCATTTTATACAATAATTTAAAATAAAAAATATCAAATAATTTTTAAATTTTTTAAAATTTATATATTTAATCTATTTATTAAGAAGTTTAAACTAATAGTTAAATTTTTAAAATTTAATATAAAACATGAATTATTGAATGTGCATGTATACTTATCAGTAGTGTAAACAATCTCACCTCTATATATATATATATATATATAAATTATTTGATAATCCTTAATTTCTACATTCTCTGCTAAATTACATGGGACGAAAACAGTCGTAAAAACCCCTATGGCCATACCTGGTGACTGTGAGCATAGCTTATGCGCACCTAAGTGATAAAGTGATAAATTTTCCGATGGGATGAGAGCTGAGAGCATGGCAGGTATTGCATATGCAACCCTGTGTCAGTCTCGCCACAACATGGCAAGACACTGCTCTGTCTTCCATCTTCGATTTTCCTCGCTAGTTCCGACCTTTAGCTACAAACGTACGAGGGAAAGGAGGTGCACTACCCATGCCATTTGCCAAGCTACAAAGGTACGTTGGAGTAGCTACCATTTTTCTTCTAAATCCTAAATCTTTTTATTCATCTTTTCCAATCTTATTTTCAGTGGGGAACGGTGGAGACTGTTCAAGTATGGGAATTGGGAAATGATGCATGGCCACTCATAGGTAGTACACACTTAAAGAGATACACAGTCATAACGGAGAATACTCTAGGTACCATAGGTGATATGACTAAAGAAAAAATTATTAGTGTTGACCAATATGAAGTAGAGTTATTTACGATAGTTGTTGCTTGGGGGTGTGATTTGTATATATCTATTTGGCAACTTCTCTTGATGCTAATTGGTTTTAAGATGAAATCTGATATGATATAAGAATTTATAGTCCATCTTTTTGGTTTGCCCATTCTGTAGACATATGTCATACATTTGTGGAGGGGGGTGTTAGGAAGTCCAACATCACCTCCCTTGGTTCTAGGAGTACGGCTTATATATTTGTTGAAAAATTACTTCATTCCAATTGGATTTAAGATGAAATTTAACAATAGCACCTCTTGAAGTTTTGTGAGATTGTAAATAACCCCTTTGCTTTTTTAATAGGGGGCACAGTATAATATTTTTCAAACAATTAATGAGGTTAATGTAATGTCTAAGAGATGTGGGTGTCATGTTTTTCGAACAATTAAGGAAAATTAGTATAGGGTAGAAAAAGCAGGGGGTTTATCTGTGAATATAATAATCTCGTGAATCCTCAGGAGGTGCCATTGTAATTTACTTTATAAAGTATAGAAGTATGAAAAATGATGCCTGGATAAAAGATTACCCATAGGCTAGTAGATACCTAGAGAGAGAAATAGACTGAAGAGATAATAGTGTAAGATATGATAAGTGATATGAATGACAAGAAGAAAGAAATAGAGAAAAATGATGAATGTTAATATGGTGTTTTATTGTTGAGGTGTCCAAATATAATTACGCTAGAAGTATCTAGGATACTGTACTAAGTTTTGTCTTTATTATAATCAACATTGCTTTCAAACACCAGTTGACGTGACTAAGACTCCAGTGTTAACATTGTATTCTTTGCTGTGAAGTCAAAGGAGGAGCTTTTGGTGGTTGTTGGGGGTGGAGCAGCAGGGGTGTATGGAGCAATTCATGCTAAGACTGTGGCACCCCATCTTAGTGTGGTGGTTATTGAGAAGGGAAAGCCTCTCTCCAAGGTTTGTGTCTTAATGCTATCATGCTATTCAATTTTGCCGTGTTCTAATTGTCTTTTGTTCTTCTCGATACTGCTGGCAGGTGAAAGTTTCTGGAGGAGGACGGTGCAATGTGACTAATGGACATTGTGTTGACAATATGGTAGTCCTCCTTTCCTTCTGACATTAAACATATCACTTTTTTTCTTTGCGGTACTGTTTTCTTTGTGGTATAGTCTGTTAAGTGTCAGCTACCTTGCGATCTTGCACCGTAGTGTAGAGTAGCATGTCACTATTCCTAAGAGCATTGTTTCAATTTTTTTTACAAGAGAAATAGATTAACAGAAGTTAATCTCATGTTGGTATTCAACTGCAGGTGAGCAAACCATTCTATTGGTTTCTTTCCATTGTGGAATTAATAAATTTTAGTCCTATCAGTTTTATCCATGTTGATTTTGGTCTTGGATATTTGTTCTTTTATGTCCTACTTGCATCTAATTACTTTATTAGATTTCTCTAATCAAAACGGTAACTTGAATGTTAGGAATATGATTAGTTTGTAGATTTTGGCAGAAAACTATCCCAGGGGTCACAAGGAACTGAGAGGATCTTTCTTTAATATGCATGGCCCAGTGGATACAATGTCCTGGTTTGCCTCTCATGGGGTGGAACTGAAGGTTGTCCTTTGAAAAGTTGCTTGTTACTTGTTTCTGTTTCAACTTTCAAATGTACATTTCTGATTTGTAATTAACTGCTCTTAGATTGAGGATGATGGTAGGGTATTTCCGATCAGCAATAGTTCTTCTTCTATAATTGATTGTCTCATGTCTGAAGTAAAGCAAAGGGGAGGTATGTTGACTTACTAAGTAATGCTTTTGGCTGTTTGCATAATGTGGATTCTGGTTGATGAAACCTCATGTGTTTAAAAAACTACCACGCTTTCTGTTATCTTATGCGCCCAGAAACTCCCCTTCTCTCACTGATAATGTGACTCTTTCTCTGAAGTTAAATCTTGTCACCAGATAAAACATTTTTGTAGCTGGTGAATCATGCTTTTTGATCTTATTTTTCTTTGTGAATATGAATAATAGTTCAAGGTTCAATTTTTTCATGAGCCAAAATCTTATGTGGTTAATTTTTTATGCGTAAAATGATAGTCAGGGGATGGTACACCCATGACTATTGGGCAAGGAACCAATGGCATGCTAGAGTTCTCCAAACCAAGTACCACCGTTCATTTAGTGATTAACTGAAACTTAGTAGTGTTCATAGACTTTAAAATATTATATAGCTGCCACAGACTTTAAATCTAACAAATAAAAATTAATAGCTGCCACAGTTTCATACCACATGGGTATAACAGTTTCCATGGTCTTAAGCAAAAATATTATATATATGAAATGTTAGATTTAAAATTTTACTAAATCTATATTCTCTGTTCCATTTAATAATACAAAAGAAAAATCATTAATAAATTATTCCATATTCCTTGGTCCCTATCTATATGAAATTCATTAATAAATTGTTAGAAATCATAATTGTCCACTTCTGTCTCTCTTTTACGATCATTTGAATCTAGGATTTATATGATGTACATTCAATTTGTCAAAGCTGAACTGTGTATTCTCAAATAGTTTCTTTACAGACCAAAAAAACTGTATCAGCAGTATCTATTTTATCTAGCGGCAAATTCCTTCTTGAGGTTGAGCAGCTACCATCTCATCATGCTGCATGTGTTGAAGCTGATTATCTATTGATTGCTAGTGGTAGTAACCGTCAGGTTGTGGTGAATAATTGATTTTATTGAATTTAGGTGCATGAATCATGTCATATCTTTTAAATCAATTTCTTTCTGTCACAGGGTTATTCTCTTGCATCTCAGCTTGGTCATTCAATTGTAGATCCGGTGCCAAGCTTGTTCACATTCAAAATAGAAGATTTGCGTTTGCGGGAGTTGTCTGGGGTAAGTATCAATCTGTGAAGCTCTTTGCTGTATAATTTTAAAAAACTTTCAAGTTCTGGTTCTTTTTCCTTACCTTTGTTTTTTTCCCTTTTCATGGAAGTGTCACTTTGTATAGTATAGCTTTTCAGTAAAAGCATGTTTTTCTACTTTTTATTGTGTTAATGGGAGTTTCCATCATTTATTTATGAACTATTGGTTGAGAAAGGAGAAAATATTGAATGATGTATGGTGCTAATGCTACCTTCACGACATAATAATGAGAGGTTGCCAAGTTTTATTGACTGAGATATAAAGTCTGATACAATTCTGTAACATTTGAGAAGGATTATGCTTTTGGGTAGCTTGATCCATTGTATCCACTGAACTAAGCATAGTTTTAAAAACCGGACCGGTCATCGAACCGGTTAAGGTACTGGGTCAGTGAGTCAAAGGTTGAACCGGTGGGTCATTAGTTGAACTGCATGACTCGGTTTTTATTTATTTTTATTAAAAAATATTCATATTAAATATATTTTATACTTATAAATTTTAATAAATTCATATCTTATTTTAAATTTCAATTTTTCTATCTTATTTAAAATTATTTTTATTTTTATTTTGTAAAAAAATACATAAAAAATTACATGTTAAACGGTATATTAATACAAATTAAAAATATAAATAATATGTACATATATAATATGCTTGCAATTAATATCACAAAATAATATATGTAATATTTACATAGATATTGCATTATTAAATATATAATTTAAAATTAATAATATATTATAAAAGTTATTTAAGTTGTATATATTGCAAACAAATATATTAGAACAAGTAGTCATTGTTATATTTAATAAGACTCCTTGCTTTTTCATTAAGAGATTCAATTTTTATTATTATTTTTTGTGATTTATGGTCTCTTAAAAAAATTTAGAAAAAAAAAGAAAAAAAATGGTTGAACCGGTTTGACCCACCGGTTCACCGGTTGAACCGGAAAATTGACCGGTTCAATCCGGTTTGAAACGGGTCGACTGCATAACCGATCCAACTTAAGATTCGGACCGGCTGGACCACCGGGTCCCGGGCCGACCAGCCGGTTCGGTCCGGTTTTTAAATCACTGGAACTAAGTAGTGTGTACTGTGCAATAAATGGTTTACAATATAGGCTTGATTTTCACAACACTGAGGAGGACTATCCAGGGGTAAATAGTAAGTGAAGATTTTCAGTTAGTAAGGTCTTGCATCAGCAATTAGAGGGGAGAACTTATTCACCAGTACATGTGAGGACTATGTCATCATTTGCTCTTATATGTTTTCCACATTTATGTTCAGTGGTTAACGAGAAATAAAAAAATCGTGGGTGGCAGGACAGTACCAACTGGCACTCATCTTTCCCTCTCTCTTCATATCTCACTGCCACTATTCACTGTGGTTCTTCCACCCAATGCGCCACTGCTCCCACTTCAATCTCCCTATCACAGATATTGTGAAGGTAAAGTTGTTTGTTAATGATGGCTGAAGCCTCTGGCAGCAAGAGTTGTGGCATGTTGGCTCTTTCAGGAAGGCTGAAGAAGCTTGTGTTATCAGATGACATCTCCCATGTAGTGGTTTTCTGAGTGACATCTGTTTTATAGAATATAGAGTAAGCTGTTTTTTTGCAAGAACTTTTGGAGGCTTTTGGAATTTACAGAATTGGCCATGATTTTTGTGGAAATAACTCTTCTGTGCAACATCAAGTGCTGGCATTTGCTCGAGAGAAAAACTCTGCCATTGGCACCTCTGCTGCTGGCATTCATGTTTTCCCCTTCTCCTTAGGAAGCCTTCTGGTAGGAGGCGTGTATTTGTTCAAACTGAAATTGGGTGTTTTGGGGATGGAATTAGTCAATTAGTTAGAAGTGACTGCTCATACTGTGAAGAAGAAATTACAGGTTTTGGGAAAGCCTTTTGTTGTGTAGATGGTTTGTGGAGATCTCCATTGTTACTGTAGTTTCCATCATGTATCGCCTAGTTTGGAAGCCATATGTGGAGGGTGTTGTGTTGGAAGGTCTCACATTGCTTGTGTCAATTTTTAGAGTGAGATCTGTGTATGTATTGGGCAACTTCACTTAATGTCAATTAGTTTTAAGATTAAGTCTATCAGATAGGATAACAGGAAATGTGAGGGGAGTTACATTCTGTTCATTTAGACAATGATGATTCTTCATTTGGTCATCCGTCATCATGATATCTATATCAAGTTGAGGATTCAGACTCATTGTTCATGACTAGTGATTATAGTATAGAGTTGTTTCTGATTAACTTGAGCTCTTTTTTTTTTCTTTTCTGTTTTTGTTTCTTTTCTACTCCGATATATCTTTTACTTGATTTTCAGGTTACATTCCCCAAAGTTAAAGTAAGGCTAAAATTGGATAGTGTTCAAAGGAATATACCTCATCTTACACAGGTATGTTTTGTTATTACCACAGATTAACTAGGTGAAAAACATAAAAACATAATATTTTGAAATTTTAGGTTGGTCCCATGTTAGTTACACACTGGGGGCTCAGTGGGCCAGTTATTCTTCGGTTATCTGCTTGGGGTGCTCGTCTTCTGTTTAGTTCAAGTTACAAAGGTAAAGGAAATTCTTTTTTCATACTCTATGTTTGGAAAATTGAAATCAATTACTTTCTTGTATGAAACTGGTTTTGAGATAACAGTTTAGGATTCTCACTTACAAACCATTTCATGTGTAACATCTTTTATCGTTTTAACTTTTGGTAGGGCTTATAAATCATTTTCACTCAAGTGAATCTTTTTTACTCTGGAGTGTTCCAACGTTTCAGTTTTTCCTTTTACAGATATTGTTATCATTTGGATGCAGGCAGACTTTTTGTGGATTTTGTCCCTGATCTACATGTGGAACGTTTGAAGTCAATTCTTTCTCATCACAAGCATCAATATGCGGTAATTTATGGTTCTAGTTCTTTCTGCAAAATTCCACTAACCTACATTACAGTATATTAAGTTGGAAGTGGAAGGTGACTATATCATTTAGTCAATAAGGTATTTTTCGTAGTTGGTTAATATTTGTAGCATAAATCCATTGACATTTTAGGGAACTCATGAGTTATGGAGAAGAAAATTTTGGTTTGGCTTACTAGTTGGAATGTCTAATATGAGTCTGCAAAATGGAATTGCAAGTACTCTATCTAATATCTTTTGTTGATTTAGTATAAAGTTGTATCAAATCATGCTATAAATTTCTCTTTTCCACAATTTTTTTCACTTGAGTTCAGAAACTAGCATTGATTCAATGATGTCATTCACTAAAAAATGGCAACCAACTGTGTTCAAAATTAAGTTGTTTTGTTTGTGCCTTTGCAGAAACAAAAAGTACTCAATTCCTGTCCACCCGAATTTGGCATAACAAAAAGATTTTGGAGCTATGTGTTGGAAAGACAGGTTTTATAGCTATTCCTAATTTTTTAAATATTATAGAATTGTTGCTAAAAAAATCCTTACAAACTAAATGAATAATATTCATATGTAGGGTTTAAGTGGAGATACCTTGTGGGCTTCCATTTCAAATAGTTCATTGATGTCCATTGGTTCTTTGTTAAAGGACTGCATATTTGAAGTTACAGGAAAGGTAAGATTTCCCATCCTTTCTTTAATATTAATATTGTCATGTATGATGTATCCTTGATTTAACATTTTTTTTTTATCCTTACGAAGGGTCAATTTAAGGATGAATTTGTTACTGCTGGTGGTGTTCCCTTATCAGAGGTTCTCTTTCTTTCTCACCTTTTTCCTTCTTCCCCCTACCCTTCCATCGATTAGAAATATAATTCAACTGATTTTTTTTTTTTTTTAAGATTTCACTTAATACAATGGAAAGCAAAATTTGCTCACGTCTGTTCTTTGCTGGAGAGGTAGCTTAAATTTAAAACTTGTGTCTTTTGTTTGAATTTTTTAAGAACTATAATTCTATTAGTTTAATACATCATTTGGTCCCTGGACCTTTTAGGAATTGTAATCGGATCCGTTATCTGTTTTGTATTTTTGTAATTTGGTCCCTGGAATTAGAGGTCTGTTTACAATCTGTGAAATTTGATAGAATATTCTTTATATTTTCATATATACTTGGATAGTCACATTAGATTGTTATTTCATGTCGTCTTCCATGTGTGTTAGGTTTTAATCCCTACTGTTAAAATTTCCTACCATTGCATAATTCTTATGATTAGGTAGATTACAAGAATTTGTACGAGTAGGGATTAAAATCTGATACACATTAAATAGTAATTTGATGTGGTTGTCTAAGTTCATAGATATAAAATAAATATTTTGTCAAATTTCACGGATTATAAACATATTTTTAATATCAAGAACTAAATTACAAAAATATAAAAAGGTAAAGGACTTAATTACAATTTTTTTTAGTTTAAGGACCTAATTAAAATTTTTCAAAAAGTTCATAGACCAAATAATATATTAAACCTAATTCTATGGTATGTAATGTCATAATGTTTATTTTGCAGATACTGAATGTTGATGGGGTAACCGGTGGTTTCAATTTCCAGGTAAATACATGTGAATATAATAATGAAGGCTTAATTGACACATAATCTCCTTAGTTATTAATATATAATATTGTATATGTCATGCGTTGGATTGTTGAATACTTATCATGGAGAACATTTTTTTGGTTCGTAGTATATTCTTATTTGAAGTTTCACTTCAAGTTCAGCTGTCATTGAATATTCTTGTGCTTTTATGTTGCCCGGCATTTGATGTATTTATGTAAGATGGCATAAGCCCTATAATTTTTCCTCTGTAAAGTATTCGAAAGCATATACTATATAGTATATACTCTATACTATACAATATAAAATAGAAGCCCGTCAATGTAGGGTAGTTTGATAGACAGTCAAAGTAAATATCTCATTATATTGATAGTATTTTTTGTAGAATTATTTCTCTAATTGGTTTCTATAAAAATTCTATTTATTTGGGGGGTGGGGCTTTTGTTCATTATAATTTATTCTTATTCTTAAAGCTTCCCTAAAAATATGTTTGGCTTGTTTGTTTTTGAAGGAGAAGAAATGTCTAAAAGAAAAAGCTAGACAAACAGTACTATAAAAGTCTTCTATTTGAAGGTCAATTCATTGTTGGCTATTAAATGAAATTTTGTGTGCCTTCTTTTTTAGGAAAATAATGGACAGAAATAATAATAAAGTGATTTATGGTTAAAAAATATTTTTTTATTGTATTTAATCATAAATATGATATTATGCCTTATTATCTGTTTGGAACAAAAAGTGGAAGGGAAGAAAAAATTGAATTTTTATTCCAAAAAGTCAACTTTTCTCTCTCTTTTTTTTTCCCTACTTTCTTTTAAATATTACAAAAGAAAATGAATCTTTATTCATTTTTTTTTCCTTCTGTCTAGACATGTCATTGGTATGTATATACAACATTAGAAATGTAGAAATGCTACAATTATATTGTCTGTCTCACTTTTCTTAACACACTTTTTCTTATTGGGTGAAATTAAATGGAAATGACTTTTGTTGGTCTTACATCTTATATAATGATTCTCTACTGATATTGTTCTTTTCAATAGATTTTAACCGATAATAGAATTGGAGAACATATATTAGAGAAGTGTGTTCTTAGCTCATCAAATGTAGAAATGTAGCATAATTTGAGGGTCCAGTTTTCCCTGGAACCACTGGCTTATCCACTTTTGCATAAAAGGAAAAGAACTTTATTACTGATTGATGGTACACTCAAGACTCAAGAGCTTCATCCATTTTTCTTTGTTCTGTGTGCAGAATGCTTGGTCGGGAGGATTTATTGCAGGAACCAATATTGGTGGATTAGCACTTTGCTCTTATTCAGCTTCAAAGTAAACGCAATTTTTCAAAGTTGCATGCTTTTGTGCAAGCAACTTGGTTTTTTCTTTTTTGGGTGTCAACGAGGACAAGTAGTACATTTATCTCATTCTCTTTTGAATGTTCTTTTCCTTTTCTCAGCATAAACATAGTTTAGTGGCATGAGATTTTGATACCAAAGGTTGAAAAATGAGCTCTTTAAATAAAGTAACCTTAAAGAAAGGAGTATTGTTCCTTAAACAGCTATTTAGTGATTTTATCATTTACATAAATTTAAATTTATTTAACAGATTTCTTTTTCCACAAGGGGAAAACTAGAAACTAATTTGTTTTTTGACTTTGAAGAGAATAAACTAAGTTATCTATACAACCACCTAAGTGGGAAGAAAGTAAACGACTATATTATCAGTTTTGTAAAGAGGTCAACGAAAATTTTCAATGTTTGGTGCCTTAAAAGTTGAGGAAAGTATTCATGCAATTATGATGCATGTGGCGTATGAAATAGAATCGATTCCATTCTACCCATCTAATTAACTTTAGATATAATGACTATGATATATCTGCGACACACGCATACATAAAGCATTTTAAATTATATATAAAAAGGCATTTTAAATAATAGATGGGATTTTAATAATATACTTGTAACAATCTAAATCACATGCTTAGTTTTAATTATAAAAAAAATATGTACTTAGTTTACATTTGATACGGAAAAAAATGGATTGGCTTGTAATGTCCTACCCTATTTTGTCACTGACTTGTCAAAAATAGAGTAAAAAAAAGTTCAGAATAGAAAATGATGAGAGTTAAGTTTGACTCAAAGCTTCTAGAAGGCTTAAATACAACTGAGTCAAAGGAAAGTTGACTGTGACCATGAGATAATTTCATGAAATGTCAATTTTTTTTAAAAAAATAAATATATTCTAATATCCGAACTTTAGCATTGGAGATTAGGTTAGTACGTAAAAGGTCTTTATGTTTAAATTTTGATTATAATATCTATTTCTATAGATAAAAAAATTTTCTAAAATCCTTGGCGTGTATGAAGCATTGGGCAAAGCTGCCCAAATGCCTCGGTCTAACATTGGACTTTGCCATTTTAGGTCTTGTTAGGGTTACCAAGAATAGTAAATTGTTTTTTTTATTATAAATTTTTATAAAGAGATATAACTCATTTTCATTAAAGTAATTTTTAAAGGAGTAAATCAGTTCTCATTTCACTGGTTAAGATGAGTAAATAATAATCAAACAATATTATGATGTCTTTTAAAATATTAATGTTGGCACATAAATTTTTATTTAATATATTGATCAATGCATGAATTTTGTATATATAATTTATTCTTAAGCAAGTGGCATTATCTTTTATTTTACTTTGCTTTTTTATTAAAAAAATATTAAGTTTATCTACACCCTTTCAGTTTTGGAGTGGTGCTTTTTTTTAATTAAATAATTATAAAAAATAATGACTATTTTTTATAAAAAAAATTATAAATGCAAATAAAATGAATTTATTTTTATCATATTCTATTTCATACATATTACAATTTAAATTTAACCACTAGGATTAGCCTAGTAGTTGGGTGAGGCGGGATTAGGGATGGCAATACATGTACATTGGTGGGGTACAAATCGTATACTGAATTGATGATGAGGTATTCACAATAATATTTTGAAGATCAAAATCAAATTCATAAAATTTCATCAATGAATTATTTTTTATCACGAGCAGATTTTTTCCATATCTCATAATTCATAAAATTAGTTTTGCTAAATTACTTTTTTCCATTTTATTTATGTTATTTAATTTAGTCCATTAATTTTTAAAATATTTTATTTGATTCTTAAATTTTAAAAAAATTTATTGTTATTTTTTCATTTTACCAAATTGAACTAATAATACATATATAAAAAAATGACATTCTATTATCAATAAAAAAACGCTCTCTTCTATGTACTTTTTAGTAAAGTGAACAGTATATATATCGTGTATATATATATCATACTAATATTTCTTATCATTAGAAATAGTAAGAATCAGTCAAAAAATAATTAAAATAGATAAAAAAAAAAGATATTTTAAATTTATTTCATTTTTTATTATTTTAGTTTAATCTAAAATAATTTTACGATAAATAAAAATATTTATTTAAATATTTCACATTGATAAAATTATTTTTCTTAATATTATTCATTTTTATCCTTTTATATTTACATTATTAAATTTGGTATCTTTATTTTTAAGATATTCAATTTGATCTTTAATTAAAAAAAAAGTTTTATATTATCATTCCATCTTATTTCATTAATGTTATTAGTGTCAATTTAAATGAAATAATAAAATTTAACTTTTACTTTTGATTTAGAGAATAAGATTAAACATTTTAAAAATAGAGGAATTTAATCAAATAATGTAAATAAAAAAGGGAAAAAAAATAATTTAACTAGATAAATTTCGATCAATTCATCTCCATAAAAAAATATAGTACGTAGATGCATTTTAAGCTTTTAAAACATTAAATAATTTTATTTTATATTAAAAATTTCAAAAGAGCTTGTTAAAATATTATATTGTCTTCTTTTTCTTTTTACAGATTGTACATGATATGTAACATTGTTTTCAAATATTTTAACAAGTGTTTTACAATTTTAAAAAAATCATATGCTCTTTCTTTTTTCTTTTTTTTTTAACAAAAGTGATTTATTGGTAAAACACTTGTTGTTAGAAAACAATATTTTTTAAATAATGATTGAGAATAAAATAAAATAGTGCCGCATGTTTGATAGAGATAAAAAAATTGAAAATGTCTAATTTTATAAGAAATGGAAAAAATATTTTCTCATTTTTTACATGCTCAAATCTTAACACTCAAATACCATTAATTTCTATATTCAAATTTACTTACTATTTTATTTACGTGGATATTTCCTGCTTCGTTCTATTTTTTTTATTTGGAAAACGTATTAAGGTTAAGATAATCATTTATCTAAAGCTAAAGTATTTAAAAGTATAATTTGTCTATTTTTCTTTAGGTTAAGGTTTTTATACTTGACTATTATAGATTTACATGTCTCAAAAATTTTGAGATTTGATAAAATAGTTACTTATTATTGAATATCACATATTTATGTGTAATCTTTATTATTAAAGACTAGTGGAGTCAAGATATTTCATGTCTCTATTAAAGATAAAATAAAAATAAAAATTAAGTAATAAAAGTATATTGATTGAACTGGTGTTATAATTAGTCCATTAATTTTTAAATTCTTGAATTTAATTAAAAATATTATTTTCTTTTTAATTTTTTAAAATAAAAGGGTATAATGGTCAATAAAATATGGAGATCAAGATGATTACTAAAAATAATATCCCTTTATATATATTAATATAGATAATATTTTGATTAAATTATCTAGGGTCAAACTAATTTTAACTTTCTTTAAATGTGATCGATTAATCATATATTGGCGGATCTGATATATATATATATATATAATTCCTTTGTAATGAATCGAGTTTTATAAAAATAAGATGATACATTTATTCGTGATTTCATATTTAAAGTGTTGACTGAGATTAATCTCGATGTTTAATTAAAGAACATAAACACTAAATTACTTAAACTGTTGACTTTCGGTTTATTATAACAAAGTTAAAGCCTAAATTTTTAGAAAGAAAAAAAACTTAAATAATAAATAACAATACAATCAAACAACGTGAACTAATTTTTACAATAGGACATTAAGTAAAATAGAAGATGATTTGTTCGTCACAACGTTAAAAATAGTTAATCCAAGGTTCCAACGTTCTTAAAATTAAAAGAATTTTAGTATTCTTGAATCACATACTCTTATCTATAATATATATAAAAAATTATTTGTCTTAGTCTATATATTATTATTGACAATTTTAATTTTTTAAAAAATATTAATAAAGGTAAAAATTATTTTTTATATATAATTTTTTAAAATCTTGTAATAATTATTCATTATCTCCACTAACTTATATATAAAGACACGATATTTTTTACTCACCAGTAATATATAAAGATGATAACTTATTTTATTAACAAATTTTAGACTTTCTTATTCTTATAATTACTTTCAAATTATTGTCTCTTACTATTTTTTATTTTATTTTTATTTAATATTTTCTTACCTCCCATATATTTCTAACAAATTATCTATTTCACAATCTATTTTTTATTTTTAAATAATAGAGGTTCCACTAATTTTATTAATGAGTTTGAGTTCCATTTAAATCACTCTTTTATATATATATATATAGATAGATAGACAGATAGATAGATAGAGAGATAGGTATATATATATATTTTTTAAAAAGACGAATTAATCCACTTTGTAAAATTAAATCGATTAATCAAACCAAATTTGTAAAGTGAATTGGTTTAATTTTTTTTATTTTCAAAATGCATAAGTTTTTAAAATCTTAACCATATCAATTTTGGATCGGTTCAATTTTTTTTGTACATCCCTATCTACATTAGTCAAGTTTTATACTAATAAGTTTACAACATTTAATAAACAAAGTTAAATCCGCATGTAATTACAATTAAGATTGTTTCACTAATCAACGAAATTCAAATTGAAATTGAATCTTGAATATATAATTATATTAAATATTTATTAAAAAAAGTATTGCTCAAAATAATTCTATCTTGGATTTGAAAAAAATAAAATTCTTAAAAAATATCAAGGTCTAAAAAAATTTATAAATTTAATTCAGTTAATAAAAAAAATTAATTTAATAATAAGATCATTAAAATTTAATACATATCATGATCGTGAATTATTGAGTAGAATATATATTTCAATAATTACTATTTAGAATAACTTGATCTCATTTATTTTTATATATTTTTAAATAAAATATTTTTAAAGGTAATTGCAAAGAAATAAATAAAAAAAAGTAAATCCTAAAACAAAGTACTAAAAATTTGACATGATATATGCATTTTTAAAATGAGATGAAAACAAAAGAGCAAATTGGTTGAAAGAAGTGGGAAACCTGAGACCTAGTCAATGATCTCACCTGTGGGGACCTCTAATAACAGACACATAATATTTGGTGCTCAACATCACATTCCACTTGTCACTTATTATCCCAATAACCAATATTAGCCTCTCACATTATCCAAACCCATCACCCCTATAATATAATTACCAACCCAATCACATAGATAGCTAAATTTCCTAACAAGTATTAACCATTAACAAAGTTGGTAAGTATTGGGCATGACACACAGCTGAAAAATGAAACTCATAATTAATGTGCTTAGAAAATGTATTTAGCAATTGCATTGAAGGTTGTTATTTGGGATAGTGACGCAGAAAGCAGAAAGCAGAAGCGTAAAAGTTGGGGATGCTTCGGAATCAGAAAATTCCAAAATCTAATTCAAGTTGTGAACCTTTTTCCACCCTCTCTTGGCTAGTCTATTTCCAGGAAAAGGTTTAGCACCCTCCTTTCCACTGCATATTCCAGCATCCCCAAATGTCCTTTCCCATAACTAACCACGCAAATCAACAACCATTTCATTTTCCTTTCCCACAATTGCTTCATCAACAATCTTTTGTCCCTGCAAACGTAACTCTAACACTTACTTGGAAATACTTTTAAACAACTTCTTCACCACTGTCCTTCAGTACTACAAAATAATCTTAAACTGCTTAATATTAAAATGTAAATTAAAATTTATTATTTTTTATATCTAATATAGCTAATTAGCTACTTGCATATTTTGTGTATATATATAATGATCACAATAAAATTATAACTTAATATCTTGTATATATTATTCTGCTGATAATAAGATGTGTCTAGAAGATAAAATATCACGATATATTAAATAAATTTTTTTGCAAGGTTTTTACTAATAGAATATCTATATTTTTAAGTCACAATGCTTTAATAACGTATTTATTATTATATCATATAGGATAAAAAAATTTGAAAAATAAAAATAAAAAGAAAAATTAATAATTATTATTTATGTGATATTCTTTTGCTGAAAGTCAGCATCTAATATTTCAATACTAATATGCATTATTTAAACCATAAAAGCCAACTATTTAACTTAATAGTTGTGTTGAGATAAATAGACGAAAACTTATTGTTGTTTTTTAATTAGTGAAGTCAAATATTTTATATCTTTATATTTTATTTAAAATTTTTAAAATAAAATAAAAATAAAAATTATGTAATAAAGATAGTTGAAAATCTTAGTATTTGAATAATTAGAAGTAATTAACTTATTTGAATGGTTAAAATTAATTTCTAATATTGTTTTAATAGACACTTTATGCTTTTTAATATTTATGTTTTTAAAAAATAATAAAATAGATAATTATTAAAAGAGAATGATAATTGTTAAATAGATTAATTTTTAAAAATTTTAAATTAATAAAAATATAATACTCTATCTATCAAATGTATATAAAAAAGAAGTTATATATCAGTAAATATTTTTTTATCAATAAAAAATATAGATATTTATCTAAAAAACTAATCTATCAGATAAATAATCTTCATAAATATTTTAAAAAATATTTAATGTTTGGGTTAATGAAAACCTATTAATAACACAACTTTCCCATCAAGGCCTTAAATTGTTATAGTGATTTTATTGTAGTCACTATACACACAACTTGGTTTTTGACCACTCCAAAAATCATGATGTTGCCATAGAAATTGAATTCACCGACCATTTTAAAAAAATTGTTTATTTATTTATTTATTTTGCGTAATTTTTAATAATTTAATTAATTAATTTATTTATTAATTTTCTTAAGACATTCCTTATCTAACGGAACTTGATTCGCTACAGTTAAATAAATGTGCCAGTGGCTGTTGCACAGTGGTCACAGAATGTTTTTTACCATTTTTTTTTTTTCATTTCATTTTTTTCTCTCTCTCTCTCTGTGTCTTCTTGACCCGTAGTTGTGCCTCGGTCGCTTTAAGACTCGGTTTTCCGCTGTCAGAAACTAATTTTTCATTTAATTTTCTCCGACTCTCACTCCTCTCCAACACTCCACACAACAGTTTCCGCCATTTTTTCTCGCTTCGCACGTGCGCATTCTCTCTCACGCGGAATGCGTGGGGATTCAGTTACGGCGACACCGTTTCCTTGCTGATTTCTTCTCCACTGGTTTTCCAGAGAAAGAGCCAAGGCTCAACCAATCGCAGAGATGGCGGTCGTCGAGAAGATCAAGATTGGCGTCTGCGTGATGGAAAAGAAGGTGAAATGTGACTCCGAGGTTCTCTCTTTCTTTACGCTCCGTCGTTTTCCCTTGCTTTCTTCTTTTTTCCGTTTTCGCTTTTGCGTTTCGCTGATTCGCTGACGGAGCTTCGCGGTGAGTTCGAACTCGGAAGAATGCGCCTCGTTTCGTGCCTCTGTTTTTCGCTCCTCATTATTTGGATTGGATTTTGCAGGTTTTCTCGGCGCCTATGGGTCAGATTTTTGACAGGTTGCAAGCGTTTGGTGAATTCGAGGTAGGTGAATGCCTTCGTTTTTTTTTTCCGGTGTTCTTGTTTTTCGCCGCGGATGTGGACTCTGGCTTGTTCATGAATCGACTGAAACAGTAGAGTTTGGGTTGTTCGATTTCTTTTGTATAATGCTGAATGAATGTTATTATACAGTTAGTTCATGCTTCTGTTATTATTTTTTTTTTTTTGGCGTTTAAAGCTTTAGAGTTTTAATTTTCATACGCTCGCAGTATAAAAGAATTTATGCAGTCACCCGTTTAAAAGTCGTCAGAATCATCCTTGATATGATTTTTAAAATTTGACAAACTCACCGAGTATAGTAGTATGATTGGATGGCAATTCTAAATATATTTCTATAGTTTAATTTTTATGCATTGTTATCGTAAATTACACGGTCAGAAATGATACGTATGATTTTAAGATAAATATTCCGACAAACTAAACCTACATATATAAATTTGTGATTAGATAACAATTGATTCTTTTTCTATATATATTAGGTTACCTCTGTCACTATACACAAGATCCTCCGATCTTATACTCTTTTCATTTTTTGTTGTTTTTTTTTAATAACACTCTCTTCTAATTGTGAGTTGTAATAGTTGTAATAATTATATTTTTTAAAATACTTTTATTTAATAAATAATTTTTTTAAACAAAAAATAATAAATATTTAAAATTAATTAGATAAAAGTTCTCTTTCTCTTATTAACATGGAAGAAGATAATAGACATATAGATATTTCAAACATTAATTAATTAAGTGAAAAATAATTAGAAAAGATTAAATTATTGAAAAATTAACACTTTTAACTAAATTAACTAATTTTGTTATAAAAAAAAAGTAACTAATTTTGTTAATTTTTTTTAATGGTGTAATTTAGTTAAAAGGGTCTCATAATAGAGACATGGTAGTATTTTGTTTTGTACAAGAAAAGCAGAGTTCTAGTTTTCTTTCTTCGTTTAATATTTTGTATTATCTGTAGGTCATACATTTTGGGGACAAGGTGATCCTTGAAGAACCGATAGAGAGGTATTATAAGTCAATTCCATTAGCTGGAAACTTGTGTCAACTCTACATTTTGGAGAGCAATATTTGTGGTTCTGTCTCAAATAGGAAAGCTTCACGTTTGTATTCAAGTGCCTGCTTTTATTATAATGCATCGAACCTGACAGTGTATAGAATGAAAACTAGGTTAAATTTTTGTACTCCATTTGTCCCATGATAAGCGTCATATAAGAAGAAAAAATAACTCCAAAATAAGTGTGATTTTATCTTTTCAGTGTAGTATTAATTATTTCTTTTCTAGTTATACCCTTAATAATATTCTTTAAAAAGTTGTTATTATGTTGCATTGTTTATAACAAAAGATGATTGATGATAAGGTTAATTTTGTAAAATTATCACTCTCTTTCATTTATTTATTAATTTTTATTGATTTGTGTAAAACAACTTAGGACCATACTTATTATGGGATTCAGGAGTAATTATCACTGAAAACATATCAATTAAAAGTAAAATTTGAAAACAAGCTAAACACTTCCTTGGTTTTGCAGTTTTCACCAAGAGCAAATGGTGGAATGATTTTGTGTATGCGAAAAGTTTCATCATGTATCAGTAAAGCATTTAGTATATTGTATTGTATGTTAGTGATAACATTTGTTTTTACTGGAGTTTGAGATTGCTGAAGTGTTTAAACTTTGTTGTAGAAGCTCCTAAATCTTCCGATTCTGAAAGGAACTAAAAATTCTAAACTGTACCTTACAACTAGATTTTATAATTTGTAACTCACGCTTCTAAATTCACTGCTTAAAAGTTCCTTGATGATGTGACAACATAAATTGTATTTGTTCTCGGAACATTTCAGTTATAACTGAACTATTTATTTTTGTTGACCTTGTGAGTGTTTAGAGTCATGCTATCTCAAAACTGTTTAAATATCATGTTATTTCAGCTGGCCAGTATGTGATTGTTTGATTGCTTTCTATTCCTCGGGATATCCCCTTGAAAAGGCTGAGGCATATGCTGCTTTAAGGAAGTAAGCTTTTTTATTTACCAGCTTTATTTATATATGTTTTATTACTCATCAGTCTATATATAGTGTTAGACTCATTGGGATATTGCTTAAATTAACTGCCTATATTGCCATTTTATTAGTTTCTGTTTTTCAGACAATGGTGAGGCTCGCATAAAATATGTGCACTCATAATAATTTAATAAAATTGACTAAGGTAGACATTCCAAGAAAATGAGAAAAAGATTGAGAAAGAAAACAGAGAGAAATCTGAGATGCAAGCTGAACTAGTATTCTATTAGTATAACCTTATCTCTGAACCGAGAAAATTACAATATATAGTTAGAGTGACTATAGCTAACAGCATTAAGTTTGAGTGTAGCATTTAATTGCAAAGCATGGGACTTGAGTCCTACATAGGAAGTATGAGATTTTTGTGTGGGGTTTATACGGGTTTGTACTATTCAACTGATACAACGCTTTTGTGGTGTGAATTTCTCAAGATTCTTATCAATAGTATTAGAGTTTTTACCATGTTTCTCAACTGCAATTGAGTAGCGTGGGTGGTGTGCTGGCATTGTACTGTTTTCCTGGGACTAGTAAGAGGGCTAGTGCACAACCAGCCTGATGTGAGTGCTGATGCGATGGACTATGGAGTGTGGTGGGATGCTAGGATTCAAATGCAAGGTATGGGACTTGAGTCTCACATTGGGAGTATGTGACTCTGGTGTAGGGTTTATAAGGCATTGGACTCTACAACTACAACAGTTAGCTTTTGTGGTGTGGTTCTTCTAAGTTTTTATCATTCAGTTAGTTTTATCTGGTTTTAACTGAGTGTACAATGTAACTGATGACAGAAGCACTAGACAAGCTGAAGATTATCTACTCTAATAAAGATAATCTCTCCTTTTTTAACATATTCCTTTGTTACTTTTGCTGTATTTTTACTTTGAATGTTTGGATGAGAAAGTTTAAAGATCTAAAAACTACTCATGCACTGTGGTGCAGACCTTTTCTAGTAAATGAACTGGAGCCTCAGCACCTTCTTCATGATCGAAGAAAAGTATACGAGGTACGTGGATGGAATCACTCTCTCTTTTTTTTTCTTCTTAAGTTGTGCTATAAATTCTATTTAAAGTTCAAATATGATGAAGCCTTGCTTTTTTAGCTTTGAATGCTTTGCAATATGCTATCTGGTTGTATGTTGATAACTCTTCTCCGCATGCTGTAAATATTGAATTTTCTTTGGTCTAGCTTGGGTTTCAAATTAAGGCATGATCTGTTTGTCATTGTTTATTAGAAGTCTGATCTATATATGTTCCTTTTAGGCTTTAGCGTGAAGCCAAGCCAAGGACTTGAAACTCAAGTTTGAGTTTGTGTCAGTTCAAGTGTTGCTACTTTCTAAGGAAGGAATAAGGGAAAAAGTAAAAACGCAACTCATTAAAGTTATATTGGTCTTGGCTGATCTGTTTGTCATTTATGTCCTTCCCTTTTCCCCCAGGACATACATTTAAACATAGTGAAAGTCATATTTCCGTTATTCTTGTTAAATGTGATTGTATGACCAATTACAGTTAAAATGCTTTATGTTATTTCTTTTATGATGTATTTTTTTTTAATAATGTTCAATTTTGGGCTTCAAGCGTCTTGAAATGTTTGGAATCCCTGTTCCAAGATATGCCCTTGTAATTAGGGAAGTCCCGTACCAACAATTAGATTACTTTATTGAGGAAGAAGATTTTGTTGAGGTTCGTGGCATGCGGTTTTGGAAGCCATTTGTGGAGAAGCCTGTTGATGGTAAGCTTGTTTCTTGTGTGGGTGAAACTCTTTATTTTGCTAGGTTTCTTTCATTAGTTTTCCCCCCATCGAAACCACTGATATATGTAATGTACATTGCATTGGCTTGTTTTATCACAAGATTGATTTAGGGAGGTGTTCTTTTTGACCATTTTCTTTTATTAAGGAGGACAAACACCGACACATGATGGTGTGGAGACACAAAATACTCAGAAAATATAAATAAAAAATGTAAATATTACTACACATCCCAATACGGACATTGATATAGATGAAATATTTATAAATAAGTGACATTCAAATTTCAAGCGGATACAATGGGGAATAATAGCTTTCGCACACTGTAACTCACAAGGTGTGTGATGTAAATAATTGTTCATCATTGTGTTTTTCAGTATGCAAGTAGAAAAGGGATTGTATATTCAAATCCCAGCTTGTAACTCTTATAATTGGTTATTGCATCTGTATGTTGACATTTCTTGAAATAATTGAAGTCAACTACGTGCCGTCATTAAATATTTGGTAGAAATGAAATACATATTAGGTAATTGAATATGATATTGAAATAAAACCAGTCTCATTTTTTTCACTGCATGATATGCGTATATAATGTGTTTAAACCCAAGTGCAAGGTAATCAAATTGAGATTGAATGGCCAAACTAATTTTCAAATCGTGATTTGCCAATCTAATTTTTTTTAATCATGAATCATAATTTGTATCGAATTGTAAGGTTCGAAGATAATGAAAAATTACTTCAAATATATCATATAGATGATATAGTGTTAAATGTATAAATTTTAAACTATAAATAGATAAAAAAAACAACTTAACCAAAAGTCTTATAAAACAAAATTATTAGTTATGAGTTTGTGAAGCCTTTAATTTAGAAGAACGGAAACAAAACAATTAAATAGCTAAATAGAGTGCATGCATTGAATGAATGAGTAACAAATATAATAGCCGTAGAATCAAATATGATGAATTCAAGTGTTTTTTCAATTCCTTTCCATTTAACAATATAAGCTTTTACGACTTTTCAATTTTTTCATGAAAATTGGTAATATAAAATTAGAAAAATATGAAGAATAATGAATTCAATCGCTCGAGTCATATCGATAATACAAAATTGCATAGATTCATTCATGTATGTAAGATGGCCTAACTATGCAATTATTATTGGATTATGCACACACACAGTTTGAAATATATTTCTCAAATGTGGTAGTAACTGTTATTTTTGTGCCTTGTGAAGCTGATAACCACAGTATAATGATATATTATCCCAGTTCAGCAGGTGGAGGTATGAAGG